TCAATGGTTTTCTATTTTATTTTCTGAGACAGAGTCCCAGCGAACCTGAAGCACACCGATTCAGCTGGACTGGCAGGCCAAGGAGCCAGGAATCACCCTCTCTCTCTCCCCCCAGATTATAAACTACATCCGGCTTTTACATGGATCCAAATATAAGGCCTTCATACTGAGTCGTCTCCCTAGCCACAGTCTATATTTCTTAGCTGGAAAACTTAGAGCTATTTCAGTCCCAACATTTTACATTAAGCACCGTCAATCATCCCACCTGCCAGGACAGAGTAGCCTGGGGATGATACCCCTCACTCAGAACAGGCTTGGGGTGCTTGACTGCTCCTTTGGATGGTATGAGGGGGGGCTGAGATAGTAAGCTAACCCCATACATAAAGGCGATTCACCAAACCCTGGATGAGTGCGCTTCTGGAACATTCCTAAACTCCCCAAGTTCTCAGCTGCTCTAAACAGCTGTGTGTTAAAGACAGGCCATTCCTACCATTTGCAAGGGTGGAGCTCCAGAAAGGTGTCTTAGCTACAGCCTGTCCTGGGGAGTGAAAGACCAAACAAGGACTCAAAATGTTGCTTTCATAGGCATGGATTATGGGGGACAGTGTGGTGGTGGCATCATTTTTACAGGCCACTTATTTGGTGCCAGACCCTATTCAAAGGTCTCCACAGCCACTGAATCCTCTCAACCTCTGGTGCATACTGTCCCCATCAGCCACACCTACAGTACTCACCTAAGGTTAGACAGACAGGAAATAGTGGTGGCAGCTAATAGAGGTGGCCTGTTCTCCCCACCGCGACACTATCTCCGAGCCTGGATTTTAATAACAGGCCTCTATGGAAGGAGCTAAGGGATCAGGTGGCTGGAAATCCCTCAGAGGCTGGAGCGATGCTAAGGGTTAGACAGTTTATTTTAAATAAAAAACTTCAAAGACCGAAATAGAACAAATCATAAACAGCATACCTTCCCGAATTTATTTCGCTAAATTGACAGCAGCTTTTATACATACATATCAAAGTTCATAAAGTTCATACCTTGGCATTTCAACCTGTTGTCTTCCTGTAAAAATTCTGAAGCAATCTTAAGTGAGTTCTTATTTACCAACTAACAGTGCAATAAATCAAATATCTGCTCTCTTTAAAAAGTAATGAAACACACTTAATTCTTATTTGCTCTCATATGGCATAAATTTCTTTCTACAGTATTTCACACCGACAAGGCGTTCTGTATGATTGCTCTACAGGATCCCACAAACTCACTCTTTTCTGAAACAGTGGTTTTCAGAGAAAGGGGGAAAAGATACCAGCTCCTACCAGGACCCTGGAAGTTATTTTTATATGAGAAAGACAGACTGGATCTCAAATACCCTAGTCTCACAATTTCAGCCTGCCATCCCTTCCTACCTTTCTAAGTGCTACTTAAAAAGAGTATCTGTGAGCACAGTTTGCCTCTGCCACAGCGGTTTGCAGGCGGCTCTGAGGCTCTGCATCCTGATTAGAGGAGCTAAGTAAGGACCGCACTGTTGTGAAGGCAGGAGGGTGGAGAGCAGTGGAGGTACCACGCCAGGTTCCCAAAGCTAATTGTGGTCAGCTGTGTAACTCTGTGTACCTGTTCCCAGAGACAGGAGCACACAGCACATGAGGACCAAGCAACTACCCAGACCGATGCCAGTGCCGCTTAGAGGCAATGCTGAAAACCCCTGGGGTTCCTGGGCCAAGTACAAAATTGTGTACCCTAGGAGACCTTCTCTGGGGCCACCTGTCTCTGTTCTTCCTGGGTTTTATGTTTTAGGGGTTTCCCAGGAGCAGCTTGGGGGCTGGGGGTGCGGCTTTCTCTCTCTCTTGTAGAAGCCAGCTGAACACAACAGCACTCCTCACCCAGACTCTCCTCCCTGAGGACTGTGTTAGATCTGTACTCTCATCGGATCAAACTGGATTGGCAAATCTGGTGACTTGTGCTTATAATTTGACACTAGGGAGTCTGAGGAAGAACTGCTCAAAGTTTGAAGCCAGTTTGAGCTAAACGGCCTCAAAAAAAAGGAAAGAAAAGAAAAAAAAAAAAAAACCCAGCTGGGTGGTGGCTGCAGCATACAACTTTAATCCCAGCACTCAGGTGGCAGATGCAGACAGACCTCTGTGAGTTCCAGTGCAGCCAGGGCTACAAAGAGAAACCCTGTCTTGCAAATGAAAACAAACAACAACAACAAAAAAAAACCCTCAAATGTAAACAAATCCAAAATTCATAGGTTTATTACAAAAAGAGCAAACCAACAAAATGTTTTTTCTCAAAGTTTTTTCTTTTGGGAAAAAGAAAAGGAAAAAAGGTGCATTTCTTTCACAAGAAAAGCTCTCTCTATTGTCAGATTTCTGGTTTTGCAATGTTGGAATTCTGGTTTTCATATACCTGGATGAACGTATTCAGTTATATATATCTGTATATCCACATAACTGAGTTTATGTATATCTATATATACGTGGTGTGTGTTGTGTAAGATTTAGTAAAACTGTAGTTAAAAACATCCAGTGAGCAGCATTCCAGTCGGTCTTTGGAGACTGGTTTTGAAAATTCCAAGAGGCACCTTCTCAAATCATCACCTTTTAAAACCAATGATCTCTGACTTACTGATTTCTATAGCTAGTCAAGTCCTTAGAGAAGCGGTCCTCAGGTGGATGACCACCCACCTCCCAGGAAATGACCAGCAGTCATGTCACACTTTAATGCAAATTAACTTGAGGGAACACCTGAACAACGCCAGTCCTATGCTGTTTTGACGTTCAGTCTTTCACCCCCGAGGTAAAAACATGCCTGCTTTTTGTCTTTTGCAAATCAATTTGAACTTTATGCCAAAGAGTCACCTTTAACTTACTAGTCACACAATTACAAAATAATAACAATAGTAATAGATTACAGCTGTTAGTTCATTTGTGAGAGTGCTGAAGCTGACGTGCAAGGCGATTAGACAGCAACAGCGAGGGCATTTAGACTGCAGACCCCTGTGTATTGACTCTGCCCATCAGCTTTCCTGTGGGCGAGCAGCCATCACCCATACCAGCCATCCCACCTTAGGTCAGCAGACAAAAACGGGTGAAATCTGCAGAAGATGCCCTCGCTTGGGTGTGGTCATTGGAAGCTTAGACTCCCGGGTTGCAAGTTCTAAAACCAAGAGCCGCACCCTTGATGTGTAATCCCCACCACTATACGGCTTCTCCCCTAATTTACCTCCAAGCTCACCAGCCCCACCCCTACCCCCCGAGGGCTCATTGAGGGAGCAGAGCAGCTCCTCCTAGACTTGGGCTCGGGCGGTCTGGACAGACAAAGCCCGCTTTGCACCGCGGCGACCTTCGGCCCCTGGGACTGGCTTGGCTGCCATGCTGCTCCGCGCCACTACCTAAACTCGTCGATAGCGTACCGCGGACAGAGGCGCTGCAGCCAGCGACACCGGGGGGAAGGGGGGGGGGGCGGTGCCCGGGCTCCACAGCCTGGGGAAAACAAACGACTCCCACTTGGAATCCCCGGCGGTGCCAGGTGCCCTAAGGCAAATCCCAGAGACCACGCGCGCTCTGAGCTTTCTCGGGCGAGCGTCTTCCGCACCAGCAACACCTCACCCTTGAATCCTGGGGCGGGGGTGGGGAACGGGGGGCGGGGGTCCTCGTTTCGACGACGGGCGGACACTCTGCGGGCTATTGTTCTCAGGGTCTCCTGGGCGGGAGACGCCCCCCACCCGCCCCCCGGGAAGCATCTGCCGCTGGGCAAAGCCTTTCAGCTCCGCGTGAACAGGGCGTGCCGGGGGGCGCTGCGGATCATCCTAAGATCCTAAACCAGTCTCCGTGGGTTGTTCCAGGCTTAGAAACAAAGGTCCTAGTCGCGCCAGCCCTGCCCCGTCGGGGACCCGCCACCCAAGCTCCCGAGCCCTGTCTAAGGGCCACGCCCAGCCAGAGTCTCAGCCCGAACGGCGACTGGCCTGGAGCTGAGGGTCTCCGGGCGAAGACTCGCCCCTCCTCAGATGCCCGCCCCTCCCCCGCCGCAGGCTCAGTCCCCTCCCCGTGCCTGTCTACTCCCCTGAAACCCCGGAGGTCCCGCCCTCCCTCACCTCTCCCTTCCCTCCTCATTCTTCAGACCAGCCCCGCTCGCATCGCGCCACCTGCACGAAGCTTCAGGACACCCCCCTCCCGCCGCCCACTTCTCAGTCCCTCCCAAGCCACGGCCTCCTCCCCCACGCTCGATCATCCGTCCCCACCCAGCTCCCCGTTTTTTTGCTCAAATCCAGGCCTCCACCCCCATGTGTCCCCTTCGCAGTTAATCGCCAGCCAGCAACCCTGGCCAGGGGCGTCGATGTCCCTCGCGCACCAAGATCGACCGCTGCGTGGCAGACTGGGCGACGGGGCTCCGGCGGAGGGACCCTAGGGCCGCGCGCGAGGGGCTGGGCAGACGCAAGAAGGCCTTTGTGGTTCCCGCAGGTGCCTCGAGGGCCTCCACTCTTCTTAAGGAAAGAATACAGACGGTCGGGGTTCGGTCCAGGTTGGGCAGATCTCAACCCGGAGCAAACGGACCCGAGGGCGTTTATCTGGGCGGTGGGTGGGAACCAGGGACAGACAGGAGGGCAGGTTGGCCACTGGAGAAACACTCCCCCGCGCTCCCACCTTCTAGCCATTTACTGCACGTCGACTAGCTACAGCAGCGCGACCGCTGGGTGCTAGGCGTGAACCCCTTCAACCCGGCCGCCTCCTTACTCCAGTTATTCGTAAATCTCTCCAGCACACATCAAACGCCCAAGGCACCGCAAGGCACCGCGCCGAGCTCTGTGGGCGTACAAAGAACCTGGCTAGCGCCCCACCTTAAGCGGGATGGCTGCCCAAATCTTAAACCTCTCCGCGGCCCGGGGAGCCCAGGCGCATCCCAATTCCCTCTCTTTTGTACGCCTCGGGGAGAAACAGGGAGAGGGGAGGATGCTCCAGCCCGCTAAGATCGAGCCCACCACCCTCCCCTCGCCATCACCCACTCCTCCAGGATGCTGCGACTGCGCGGGTCCGTCGGTCGGTCTCCGGGTCTCGCCGCGGCGCGGTAGCTGCGGATGCACGGGGCGGGAGCGGCTGCTAGCGCGCTCGCTCGGTGGCCGCCTCGCGCGCCTGGAGCTGGAGTCCCGAGTGGCGAGCGGGGGTGGGGACGAGGGTGGGGGCTGGGAGCCGCCCGGGCCAATCACAGATCCCAGGGCTCCGCCCCAGCGCTCGCCACCTCGCACTAGCAGGTTAGAGGGAGGCGGGACCAGCAGCGCCCCGCATCCTCCGCGCGGCCGCCGCCTTTGGGACTACAAATCCCGACAGCCCTTGGTGCAGGGCCGGGGTCCGAGAGGGGACAGAGGGCATGGCCCCAGACCCTCCACAGCCCCCAGCCCTCTAAGCGCCATTCTCCAAGTTCCTTTCCAGTCCCATGGTAACTAGCGACACTTCACAAAGCCCCGGCGCTGGGGCGCGCGGCTGCTCTGGTCCCCTGGGAGGGTGTGGGGCGGCTCCCGAGGACACACCGCCTCCCCTCCCCCTGCAAGACCCCACCCGAGGCGCTGAAACAATGCGGCGGCGGCCGCTCTCCGAGCCGGGCTGGTCTCCACTTGCGCCATTGGGTTAACGTCCTACCGAGTCTGACGCTGCCCGCATTACAGGCTGGAGAGGGCGAAGGTGGTCGGTACGGGGAAACTGTTTTTATAGACCAAAGGAACGGCCCCTCTGGGTCGCCTCCGTCTGCATCTGTCCCTGCTTGAGGTCTCGAACCGGTCACGGTTCGTTCTATGGGTGACTACAGTTTTATCCAGAGCAGCGCTTGGGCATCTGTATCCAGCACCGACGTCCAAAATGCCTACCCTACTTTGACATCTCCTTTAAAAGATAGTGAACCCCCTGGAAATGCCTGTGTGCATGCGCGTGTGTGTTAAACTCAGTTCACATCAGCATCATCTATCCTTATTTTCTTTCCCGTTTGCTGTTGTCGTTTTGATAGTCTCGTTATGTAGGCACCCTGCTAGCCTAGAACTTGCGGTGGTCCTCCTGTCCCCGCTCCCCGAGTGGTGGAATTACAAATGCACACCACAGCACCTGGCCCAGCCTTTTCAGGACACACTTGATTTAACCAAGAACAATCCCGTAAAAGGAGCCAGAGGATAGTCCCTCTTCCTTACTAACCTACGGCCCAAGCCTTTCCCGGGCTCCGAGTCAGTCTGTAGCTGTGGCGAGAGTTTAAATATAGCATCAGAATTTGCCTCTTTTCCCTTGCAAAACCGCGTTGAAATGCAACGTTAATCCCGCTCCGCACCCCTACCCTGGGAATCTCCAACTGCTGTTGAAGAAGCCGGTTCTTTCCAGGGCTTCCCTCGGGTTCCGGGGGTGGCAACGAGGGTGTGAATCTCTTGGCTGCTTTCCTGTGGTGCTTTTCTCTACAGGGTGTTTTCAAAGAAAGTCGTACGTTGTAACTTCTGGCGGAGAGAGCAGGAGCCTCAGAATTTTAGCCAAATGTACACCAGGGCATGAACCCTCAGTCCCCGAAAGTAGGGGGTCCCACAGGGCCATGTACTCTGCAATCCATTCTGGATGAGTTTAGGGCCACACAGGCTTGCATCTAGGGGATGCGGGGTTACTCCATTTGGTCTCCAGTTCTGAAAAGAAAAAAAAATTTTTTTTCTGCCTTCTCCCGCAAAGAACCTCCAGAGAAGCATGGCCATCTTCAAAACACACCCTAATTCTAGAGGTGGGGGGAGAGGGAGGGAGAGAATTACTCCAGCCTGGGATTCTGCATAGTCTCCCTAGACCATCCAGGGAAATGTTTGCAAAATGCATTGCGCCTCTGGGTGTAGTGAAACACCCAGCCAGCTCAGGGCAGCTTGGGCCTTTGATCACCTTTTGCCTAAGGTAGAGGGAGCCCCTTAGTGGCAGTAAGAGCTTTCTGCAGCACTTTGTTGCGCTCATGTTTGAATGGATTTTGTTTGTTGTTGTTGTTGTTTTGTTTTTTTTGTTTGTTTGTTTATCCAGTCTTCCTACTGCAAACTGCTTTCCAGCTGGCCTGAAATACTGATAGAAATCCTCTCCAAACCTGAGGTGTCGCACAGGTATCCTCGGTACTTGATTTTTTGCTTTTTGTTTTTTACTTAATTTAGAACTTCGAGTCTCCTCTATCTAGATCGGAACCCTTGCTCCCGCCACGTTACGGCTAGTTGATTCTGGCAAAGGAGCCAAACCTGCGCCTTAGCTTCTCGGTATACCACCCTCGATGCGTGGTTCTGAACAGGGATCTGAGAGTCCAGGACGAAGGAGTGTAAGCTGAGGAGGGGGGAGTCTAGGGGTGTTTGGGAGACAGCTGAGAACCTTCCCAGAGCTTGGCCATCAAGACCATTCATGAGTGGAAGGGGTGGGAAGAGAGAGTAGGCAGCGGTCGGGGCCAGAACCCACAAACGCTGAGGCTACTGTTTGCAACAATCGTGCATACACCAGGTTTGAAATACCCTTCACAGCAAATGAGAATAAGGACCACATTGGGGGTTGTAGAAGGAGGATGGAGAGGGTCTTAGGCTCTATAAGCAGGGCTGATTAGGTACTCTAGGATACGCCATTCAATCCTTACAGTTTCACCAAGCAGGTAAAAGCGCTCGCTTCTTACCAACTCAACTTACTCTGAGGTGCCCCCAAGGTCACACTCATTGTTCTGGGGAACAGAAGCAGAATTCCAAAGGCCATCTTCATGATGCAAAGCCAGCCTCTCCTGCTGCCCCTTGCTCCTCCTCTCATCCCAGGAGGCTGACTCTCCCGAGTAAATAGTAAATGACTCCTGGACGGCATTGACATTCCACTAACCTCGGACCATCTATCCCCTTCCCTTTCAGCTGTTTCTCTTCCGGGTCCTTCTGAGAAAAGGGTTCTCCAGGACACTGTGTTAAGATTCTTCTTCAACTGAGCCAGGAGTGGTGGTGCACACCTTTAATCCCAGCACTTGGGAAGCAGAAGGAAGTGGTTCTTTGTGAGTTCCAGGCCAGCCTCATCTGTAGCTTCAGGACAGCCAGGAGTACACAGAAAGACCCTGCCCCAGTCCTCACCCCTTGAAAAAGGTTCATCAGCCTGCTCTTTTCACCTTCTGCTCCCTCACATTTCTAAGCAACAGCCCTCTACGGAGAACACTTTGAGCTCCATTTAGCCATTAAAATAACTGAACTGAGAGCCAAACCTCTGTTTCCAGGTCAGTGTCATGGAGCAGGAGCCAAAACAGGGACACAAAAACAGAAAAATGGGTATTGAGAGAGGGAGAATGGACACAGAAAGCAGGAAGGAAATCTAAAGACCAAGAGATGGAAGTGGAGAGAGAGAGAAGGGGAGTGTCAAGGGCTGAGCCTACTGTACATAAGGTCCTACATTCAGTCTCCAGTATAAACAAGCACACAGCAAACAAAGAGACAATCAGACACAAAAAAAAGGGGCAGTGGGAAACGAGACCCAGGCCACCCAGCCTGACACAGGAGACACAGGAGAGAGGACCCAGAGGGGCTGAAGGTGGGTGTTTAGAGGAAAGCATCAAAGTCACTGTCTGAAATGCCAAGGGACACCCCAGAAATTAACAGCCATCCCTCCTAGCCTACGGTGTGATCTTATATTTTAATTTTTTTAAAAATAAAAATTTGAGATGAAAGTGTGTCGTCTTTTCCAGTCAGAATTTTCAAAACCCACCTCACGGGATGATGATTCCCACAACCACGGGATGATTCTGGCTGCTCTGGCCCTGCATTTGAAATCCACAGCTTTAAACCTGCATTTATTTCACTCACACAAGAGATTCTTTAAATCAGAAGGAACCTAAGAATTGTTGAGTCTCACAATACCAACATTATGCAGATGAGGATAACAAAGCTTTGTTTTATGCTCTTTCAGCCCTCAACAAAATCCACTTGTATACCAGCAAGAATGATATCAAGGGCGAGAAAGCAGCTTTTGGGAGCTCAGAGAGCATGGGGCATAAGGGATCTTTAATCATCTTTCCATCCTGCACCTGTCACGCCCCGTAGCACACTGCCTCAAAACCCCCCTAAGGAGATGAAGACATTGGAAAGAAGCTTGGCCCTCTGCTTCTAAGTCAGGTTATTTATAAACTTTTTACTGTATTTTTAAGCAGTAAATAATCTATTACTTGATTAATTTAATGCCCTGCAATGGTTAATCTCCACTGTCAATTTGAATGAGTTAAGTCACTGGAAACACATCTGGGGCGTCCATGAGAGAGTTTCCAGATAGGTTTAACTGAGGAGGTAAGATCTATCTTGAACGTGGGTGGTGCCATTCCATGGGCTGGAAAAAGGACAAAGGCTTTTTGGGAGTGTTTTTGTGTTTCCTGACTGTGGACAGAGTGTGAATACAGTGTGGATGAAGTATGAATAGAGTGTGGACACAGTGTGGATACAGTGTGGACAGAGTGTGGATGCAGTGTGCACACAGTGTGGATACAGT